ACTATCATCCAGATGCTTCAGTAAAGCTTAAGCAGAATGGTTATCCTGCACTCCCTATAAGATAGAAAATAATATAGCCTAGATTACTGCTAAGATCATTTCCAGCCAGTCTGGTCAATGTATGGCCAATAGTCAATGTAGAACATAGCCTAGTACTTGCATTATTTTTAATATATTCCATAAATTTAAGCAATTTAACCTCGCATAATAAGAGACTATTAGCTACCATTATTCATTTGAATTATACGAATGTCTTATTAAAACGTCTAAAAATGATCAGAGATCAGGTAAAAACCACATTGGTTCTTCTCAGTGCCTCCTCGTGACTCATGGGTTGACAGAGATCATCGCACCCAGCGGTGAACCCATAGACAGTAAAAGAAATGGACACAGCGACCCCATAGACTTCAACGGATAAAAGTGAAGTCAATTAGAAGCACTCACTTCCTGATTGCCAAGTGCACTGCGCAGGCTCACACTGAGCTTGATGACGTAGATGTGACGTGAGCAACCTGACTGACAGTTGTACGTCTTCTAGTAGCGGTGCCAAGAGGAATCTAAATCATTCCCTTCCAAATCTTGCAGAGCCGGAGATCGTGAGTATTAGCTGTCCATGAGCTCGCAGCAGGAGCAACTTTACAACTCTCTATTGGCTTCTCCCTTGACTTTATGGCTTCACGTCCCCCCGATTGCGCGCGAGCTTCTACTTATGTCTATACGGTAATTTCTCTACTGTGCGACAGAGAGTCGCGTGTTATGACGCAATCGTTAGCCTATTTTTTACAAAAAACTGCTTCTACGGGGCCATAACGTAAGATACAAGGTAATGGAGCCTTTTATACATTGTCGTGTTTCTTTAGAAATAAACAATGGACAAATGGAGTCTTTAAACGTCTCAGATGTAAAGTTATTCGCTGTCAAAGTGACGCCAAAATGAATGGGAGTCAATGGAATGCTAACAGCAGGTGAACGCTTGCTAGCCAATGGCGGCTGGTGGATTACCCCCTGAAACTTCGAAGTGTTTCGAAACAGTTATGACGTTATGAAGCTTCGTTTACTGAAATCACGTGACTCTGGCAGTTTGATACACGCACTGAACCATTGATTCAGAACAAAAGATTCGTAAAGGTTTCGATGCTTCATGAAGCAATGTTTTGAAATTGCCATCACTAGTGTACACAACCTTTTAGTTTGTTCTTGTTCCCCATTTGTCATCATCACCCTCATAATCTTAGAGGAAATGACATAGGCCTACACCTCAGTGAAAACATTTTGTATATAGCCAGAAAAATGTCATGCAGAAACAAAGGAGTGCTTTGAATTGAGGAACAAGCTAGCGAAGCCTGACTCACTTTCAATTTGGAAATGTATTCAGACTGTGCTGAGATGACAGCAATATTTTTGAGTGGTGTGTTATATGCTATCATGCTAAAGTAAAATAGCTATTGCTTAAATTAATATTATTGTTCAGTGCACAACTATATTGTACATGCGTTATCCATATATGCAAACCTCCCTACAAAATCAACTGTACAAGACTATAATGCACTGACTCTGACTATAGACTTTACTTAGCAGCTGCTTTCGGATATAGCCTATAAGAGATGTTTCATAATGAGTCATCTGTCCAAAAATATGTAAGCTGTGTCACAAACGCCCAATGTGTTAATCCAAAAAAAGAATCTAAAAACCCCCCAAAATCAGTACTAGGGTGAGATCATAACAGCAAATTCTGACTTCAGTGTCCAGTTTTTGTGAAAACAGTAAACATACAGTAGCTAATGTAGCAAGTGGTTCATTGTAAATGAGTTCAGTAAAGTAGCACAGTAACGCTCAATAATACCGCCCTCATTATTGAACATCAGAGTTCATGTGAATGGATGAGCGTCCCAGATAATTAGTAAAAACTAGGTGAAGGGAGCAAAGTGATCTATCTTGTAAAACTAAATCTTACTACATTAGGCTATAGGAGTGTTGTAACACGGGTTGAGTTGTAACATCATCAATTTAACCAATTATAAAAGCCTCCTGGGGTGACAATAAAAGGTGTGTGACTCATAGTACAGAATTTTTTAATAATTTTATGTTTAGTTCATAGCTTGAAAGGGACCCACATAAAATGGGACAGTAGCTGTTTCCATTCAAAGTTGCAAATTTAAATGATGCGCAAAACTGGAATGTTGCTTAAAACATTCGCGAATAAAGCAGCAGCATCTCCATCCCATGTGTTCAAGAGAACAAAATTGCCACTTCCTGGGAAACTGGCGCAAACTATCTATAAAACAATTGAGGAAGCCGCTGTGGCAATTTTTCCGTACATTATAAATGACTTGCGTCTCAGAGCAAACAGATGAAACAATAAACACTCATGTTCTCTTATGTTCGGATCCCTGGTTTTTGGGAACGCAATCATGGGAGACGCTATTGAGAGAGAACTATACCAAATCATTTTGATGACAGATTTTGGCTCAGGCCAAAGAACGATCAAACCAGTAACAACCACTTCGGGACGACCAAACTAACATTTTAGATGTAACTGTGCTATCCGATTGGTCCATCTTGTCCAGTCCAATCACATTCACTGTTGAGGCAAAATGACATGAGTTTTTTGCGCATCAAGGGATTTATTCTGTAAATGTGTTCCCATCGTAGTTTATGTGCATCTTATCGGATGAGAAATTTACCAATTTTTTTTAATTTATGCGCATTCTGATGTTTCCATCCAGGGTTTGTTTTTTTATGCGATATCCCAAAATGCGCATATAAATAGGTGGATGGAGACACTTTATTTTAATGTGATGTAGTTACACAACCATAACTCTATAGTAAGTACATGTAGTTAAAGGTGCATTGCGCAACATTTCATGTTAAAAATACCCGTTTTTCTAACCCATACATGCTTAAACAATTGCCTGATGGGCTGAATGAGCCCTTCTCTGATCACTGCGATTGCCTCTATAATCCTGTACGGTAAAATAAATAAGAGGGATTCGGGCCGGAACGTGAGACTGGGCGTGACGTCACGCTCCCCTGGCTATGTCTGGCAGGTTTGTGTATTCGCCGCCATTCTCCGTATTAGCGAAGACAACTCGAGCGGCAAAACTTCAGTCAACTTTCGACAAAAGTAGAAGATGGGTTCAAAGAGACCGGCTTGTAGTTCATAAACCCCAACGCAAACTCCACGCAAGACAAAGACAGTAAGGTAGTTTTGCTTGTCGCCAGAGGGGGGGCATAGTCCTGCAAAAACTCAGAGAGGTGCGCAATGCACCTTTAATATTACTCAATACTTATTTGAGAAAGTACAATGTAACTACATCACCTTAAAATAAAGTGTAACCTAAAAGTTTTAGTTGGCCCAAAAAAGTTATATTATAAAAATTAGTCAGGGCACTTATTTTCGCCTGGCTGTTAACATGAACAAACAATTTAGCTAATAGCCATAGAAACAGCATTTAATCATCAAACACTGACATTATTTTATTTGTCACTTGATTTACATATAATAAACGTGACCACAAAAATATGTTTTGTCTATAAAAGCCAAATTACAATTCTGGTTCCTCAAGATGAACCTATTTAGATTGCACCCCTAAAAATCCCCATTGAAATTACTTAAAAAATGACATTGGAAAATTCACTCACTGATTAAAATGTTTTATATGTTTACCATTTGGAATTTGTTTTATATGTTTACGATTTAAAATATTTCAAATTAAAGGTGGTAAATTGGGGTAGGCTATATTGAACATGGCATAATATATCATTTTGAATTAAATTTGAATTAAATCTGATTATAATAATGCACAAAACTAAAATGAGTACATTACTGCAAATCTAATAGTGTTAAACTCAACCCTCAACAGTTTAGAGATATATATTTTGAAATAACTATAGACCTAACTATATAATTTGAAGCAGATAAACGTGAATTATGTTATAACAAAGTTATAGAGTACAGCACAACAACACTGACAGACTTACAGAAGCTGAAACACAATGTTTTACTCCAGGGTCTTTTAGTGCTTCTTTTGAAATAACCGCATTTTCCGAGTTATAATCTCTTGTCACTCAGTTATTGCATATAATCCAGGATACGGATCCATGTGTTGTGCCATGCAGTAACCCATCAAACGGGGATTGCTCAATGCTTCTCAGGAATTTAGCTAACCTTCTGGCAAGGTTCTCTAAATGTTATTTCCAGTAATGTTATTAGAACGTTTGTTCAACGTCATGTGGTCTTTGTTAATGTTCTCAAAACGTTAGCACACACACACACACACACACAAAACACAATATTTAAATACATCGTTTGAGGAAACATTTTAGTAGAATGTTCGTCTGACATTTTACTACTTGTTTTAGAATGTTTCGAGAACATTCAAATGTAACGTTCCTATGTTTGCATTATGATAAAAAAAAAAAAAAAATGTTTATTTAACATTTGTAGAAAAATGTTAGAAAATTGTAGAACCAAGAAAAAACGTTTTAAAAACATTTAAAACACTGGAGATATTGAAAAACGTTAAGAAAGCATTAAGAAATAACGTTTTCAGAACTTAAATGGAACGTTAGCAAAACATATTTTTGTTAGCTGGGAAGGTCGATGCATTGCTTCACAGAAGAGAAAGCCGATTATCTGTAGTACGCACTTGACTCGGCTGCTGTCGTGAACATCTGAGATAAACGAGTGGAAGCGATAGCAAAGAAATTAGTTATATTAGTTACATTAACACGAAACAGAACCAGGGGCTCCTGCTGCCTGCTCAACGTAGTATAATCGATTGGTCTTAATTTAATCGACAAATTATGCCTGTCTTGTACAGTATACCAGCTTCTCGCATTTCAAACAAACGGAACAAAGGAAATTAATTGACCGACCTGCGAAATGCTACTCATATATCAGGTGAATATAGGCTAACGTTACTCATATATTAACGCGCAATGACAGAAACAATGATATATCACACAAAGAAATGGTGGTGCACACACAAAGCACTTACCCAAAATATTATGTTAAATCCAAATATGAAATATTTAATGCAGCAGCTGACTTCTTGACCCTTGTAATGCTTTCCTGACATCATTGGCTCGTTTTCTCCAGCACAAACTACTGGCTCACATAAAACGCGAAGCAGGTTCAGTTTGAGTATTCCGTTCTTAGGACATCGATGTCAAACTGTCCCAGTAATGTTGTTACCCGCATAAAAGAAACATAATGCTGACCACCTTCAACAGCGCCTAAATAAGGTACAATGCCGACTGTCATTTATAAACAAATCCGCTGACTTAAACACTGTATATCTCGAAATAACTGCCCCTTCTTCACTGCAATTAGTTCACATCGCTTTTTTTGCCACTTGACATGGCTGCTTTGATTGACAGCGCCAGTAACCAATCAGCTATTGTGCCTGGGTTGTCCCTCAACCCTCCCCACCAGGATTCCCCTCCTCTCACAAGCACCCGCATGAGTGGTTTTCGACAAACGGCGTGCACGCGCAGTGTCGCTCAATTTTCGTAAACTGCATTTTAAACAGGGAAATAAATGCTGTCTGAATGCGAGAGAGGAGAAGATCAGTGCCTTAATATCGCCTTTCAGTAAGGTTAAATAAAGATATTATATAGGCCTAGGGTGAATAGCCCTAATATTGGATATTATTTTGCATTTTTCAGACTTCTGTGACATATTGCGATGTGTAGCCAAAACAATAAATCCACACTCAATACCATTTTGAAAACCGCAGGATGTATCCTATTCCTAATCAATTCAAAAGAGAAAATGCAGATAACACATTCATAAAAGAAATGATAGACATATTAGTGCTCTTAGTGCAAGTCATCCGCAGCTTCTTAATGTCTAAGGCCCAAATCACCTTGAGAATAGTAAAATCTTATTAACTTAGTAATTATTTTGGTTATTGATGGATGAAACATGGATATTGAACACCATCAGACAGATAATACAATATATGTATTTATTATAAAGACATTAAGCAGCCTATAGGCCTATATAACATGTCCCAGTTCAGCTTCCTACTCCCTGTTAATTAGTGGTTTTCTTCCTATTGTATTATGATTTATTCATACAGATTTATTCTGCGCTGGAGAGTAGATTTAGGGACATTCCATGCCCTGGCCAACAGTCTCTGAGGGACCCCACCATCCTCATCGATCTGCCTATACTCAAATGGCTCCTTTCATCCTGTCCTGCCTCCACTGATTTCTTTCTCTTATCCTTTTCCTGATTCTTCCTCTCTTTCTCTGCTTCTGACAATCTATCCCTGTCTTTCTCGCCTTTGCCATTGTGATCTGAAATACATTTCATTTCATTCATCATTACATGCATAAAATAAAGTGAAATGGCTTTATTGGTTTTCTACTGAGTTTTTAAATTATTTTGTTTCATTTTAAGACACCTACTCCCATCACACACACACACACACACACACACACACACACTGATTGCTCCAACCTCATATATGACTGGACATTTGAGAGGTCATGTGATTTTGATCACATGACACCACAGCTTTGGCTAACCCATAATTTCACTGTCATTCATGTATTTATGGGGGACCAACAAACACTAGACCTTAGGTGTCCCCACATAAGGCTCTGTCCCACTTTAGGACAATTCACCCATATTATGTGACCATAAAAAAACTGATGGAATTTAAATAGAAGACTTGGCTTCTACTCACAGTATACATACAGTTTAAAGTGTATATACAATTAAATTATAATTACACTATACGTTGTGTGTGAATCTGCTGTGGTGACGAATCAGGTCCTCCTCAAAATCGGGTCATTAGGACCCCAAGATCCCATTGGCTCAAATGATTTTTAATAGGCACTCTCTTTAGCGTCTGTTTACAAAATCATGTTATTATAAAGGCAGTTTGAACTGTTATAATGACCATTAATGTCTGTACTAGTTTATGTACCATAACTGTACATTTGTACATAACATCTAAAATTGTACATCTGTAAATTACATCATAAACTGTTCACTTGTAAATAACCTCTGTACATTCATTCAAACAACTATATAGCCTATATATATTTTTTTTCTATATATTTCTACTACTGTATATAACACATTATTACATTTTTTGTTTCTTATATTATTGTTATATTTTATTTCTACTGTGTAATTCATGTCTGTAACAGTATGTGTATTGTGTTGTTGCATGAGACCTTTATTATGTATGTATGGGAGGCACCCGAGGTGTTGTGTGTATTGTGGGATAATCGAGAAGTAAAGTTGAGAGTTCATGGAATTACATACGAGCCTATTATTATTATTATTATTATTATTATTATAGTGACGAAACCACTCCTGAGTGAACCAAAGAGATTACAATGCATGCTTATGTGTCTTCAGTAGTATCAAGTGAGACTTCAATACTGTCCAGGCAAACTTCTGTCTGATATCAGAGGACAGGACAGTGGCCTAGAGGAGTCAGAAGTCTATCTGTCTGTGTCCAAGGAGAGACTAATACAAAGATCAACAGAATTAGACACAGAACTCAGAAGTCTTTGAAGCCTGATGGGAAGAAACACTGTCCATGGATGTGGCCAAGTACTTCCACATTAGAGATGAGTTGTGTGCAAAATGGAATAATCTTTCGAGGAGAGCGAGTTATTGTACCAAAAGCATTGAGATTAGAAATAATGCAGAAAATCCACTCCTCACACATTGGAATTGAAGGATGTTAAAGAAGAGCACAGGCGTGTGTATATTGGCCGGGCATGAATGCACAATTAAAAACATTTAAGGAACAATGTAGTATACCTGCTCTGTGTGGGGGGTGAAACAACAGAAAGAGACCTTGAGGCCCCATGAAGAACCAACTCATCCATGGGAAAAAAAATTGGAACAGACTTGTTCCAGTTCAATGACCGGGATTACATGGTCACAGTGGACTATCTGCCCAGCTTTTGGGAGGTGGATCACTTGGAAAACACACAGTCAAAAACAGTCAAATGCAAATTAAAAGCACATTTAGCAAGATATGGAATTCCAGACACAGTGTCTTCGGACAATGGCCCCCAGTATTCATTCGATGAATTCAAGAAATTCAGCAAAGCCTGGAACTTTACACACAAAACTTCTTAATTGGGATATCCACACAGTAATGGAAAAGTGGAGTCAGCTGTAAAAAGTGAAAAAAGGCTTCTATGTCTAAAGCCAAAAGAGCTGGGGCGGATCCTTGCCTATAGCAATATTGGATCACCGGAATACACCAACTCAGGATAGCAGCCCATCAAGGGCACTGATGGGTCGACGAACTAAAACGCCACCTCCCATCTGTGAGAGTTTACTTCGTCCAGGACTGATATCCAACAAATCAGGCGACAAGAATAGACAGTTGAGACAGGTTCAGTACTATGACAGTGCAGCCAGAGATCTCAAAGAGCTGCACTGCAAGGACAAATTGAGAGTTCAGCCGACAGGACAGACACAATGGTGGCCAAAGGCAAGGGTGATAAAACCAGTGGAACAAAGATCGTATGAAATAAAGATGGGAAGTGTACAAATCCTGAGAAGGAACAGAAAACATCTGAGAATGAGCAAAGAACTTGGTGAGGACTTTCCGGAAGTGCGGACGAGCTCGGAAAAGATGAAGCGAATATACCGCTGAACACTGACACAGTCTGAGAAGGACTGTGATACAGAGCCAGTTGAAATGAAATTGGAACAACCTCCCTGTGTTGGCGGGGAAAATCATGAAGTAAAGTTGAGAGTTCATAATTACATGCTAGCCTGTTTCTTTCATGATATTGAAACAATGTCTGCACTATCATGTATGTCTGCACTGCAGCTCCTGTCACCAAGACTAAAACCTTGTGTATGTAAACATACTTGGCAAATAAACCTCATTCTGATTCTGATATGGAGATATTTCGAGGGAGGACCCGGAATGTCATGACACCGGAATCACTGGACGAACAGCTAACAGAAAAATGCGAGAGGAAATTGCAGAACAGATTGTTTATTTTTCACATCCTTTCTTTAAGATATCATTCTAAATAAGTATAGGAGGTTTCAAAAGGCATTCTGTCCAAACAGCAAACATGGTCTCAAACTCAAAGAATTAAACAGTTCCTCACATACATATTCAACTTACTTGAAACACCTCTGGTGCACCTTTTTGTCTTTCCTATTTTTTCCTTTTTATAATTAGCTACTCATTGATAGAGATATTGTGAAACTCATGACAATATTTAACATAGGTGAACATTGATGCTCCATGAACACTGAAATTAACGTTTTCTTGCTCTATTATGACATCATGTGGCCAAAAGTGCACCTGCAATGTTCTCAAGTAAGTTCTCAAAAAACAAATAGGCTAAATAAAATATAGGCTACTTTGTAGGCATAAATACAGTTCCAGAAAACAAGTATGTGAACCCAGATAGTTTGGCATGAGGTCAAGATTCACACCAGACATCCTAAGAATATTGATTAATTGAAACAGTTTTGTAAAAAGAAAATATTGTGCATTTATAAGCCATGATCACAGGCAATATTTGGTGGTGATAACTGCTGCATGCTGCATTGTGAGTGTTTACCACTGCTATCTGTTTATGCAGACCGTGTTTTCTGTTCAAATCAAATATTATGACCAATGCAGAAATGCATAATCCAAGGGTTCACATAGGCTACTTCTTCCTACACTGGTCATGTTCTCAAATACTTCACAAACTTAAGTTTGATTATTTTTGCAGTCCTCTTCATTGAGCAGTTGTTTGGCACACACATCTCTCTGCTCTGATATCCTTTAGCTCCTTTATAATAATATCCGCAGTGTCACTGTTGTACATCACGATGAGAGATGACAGTCCTTGTGGAGTGCAGTTTGATCTATAAAATATATGAAGACAGTGTTAAGGTCATACCTGTGTTTTCAAAACTGAGACTCACAATCATGCATAATAAAAAGCTGAATGCACCTTTGAAGTAAATCATTTTCTCTGTGGCGTTTTCTTTGTCTCTGAACAGGCATGGGTGACGCAGACATTTCTTTCAAACAGATACCTCTAAAAAGGCAACAGACGGAAGGACATAATTTGGTTCTTTCTATCACATATAATGAATACATAATGCAATAAATGTTATGCTCAACAACATTATGGCTGTAACCAAACGTGTTGAGGAACTTGGGAAGCTAGCCTACTATGAAAGTGTTTGATACAAACCTGAAATAGTTTAACAAGCATTTTTAAACATCAACACGAACAAAATACAATGAAATACAGTATAACTGAGTCGACAGATTATAGGCGTACATACAGCGAATTGCTTCGGTGAATCGTATAAGGTCTAAATGAACCGAGATTCAGACTGAGAACCTGATTCATCAACGAATCGGACTTTTCAAGGCTACAAGAGTTTCATTTACGACCAGCCGATTTACTAGGAAGAATTAGACTCTCCGGGCAACATAATGTACTGTTTAGAATCAGCTGTCTGACCAGAAAGAACCGGACTGTCCTACGGACCTTTTAGGTGAGCTTTTAAATATTTTCTTATCTATTAAAACAGCGGTAACGTTAGCGTTTGACCGAACTACGCTACTCGTTCAAAGGAGTTGCTTTTACTTTTAAAACAGCTGAACTGTCATGCATGCTGAAGTATAGTTATTTACATTTGAATGAAAATGTATTAGGCTATAGTATACATTCTTATTAGGCCTAAATGCAATTAGTTGAACTCATTTTTTTCGACCCACTTAAGCAGGACTTAAAGGGATAGTTCACCCAAAAAAGAAAATTCTGTCAACATTTTTTTCACCCTCATGTAGTTCCAAACACATAATAAGACTTTTGTTCATCTTTGAAACACAAATGAAGATATTATTAAATCTGAGTGATTTGTGGCCCTCCATTGACAGCTACTGTACGCAACTACCACTTCAACGCTTAAAAAAGTTCATAAAGAGAACATAAAACGGTTTAGTCCAAATTTTCTAAAGAGACACGATCACTTTATATGATGAACAGTTTTAATTTAGGCTTTTTTCATCAACGCGCACATCAGATATGGTAAATGAAATCTCATACATGTTTGCTTGATGTGCGAGAACCAATGAGGTTCATTCTTGTGTTAAGCAGCACGTTTGATCTTCTGGAAAAACAATTTTGGTCAACAAAGGTTTGTTCTCACTTTGCAAGCAGTTTCGGTTTTTGTTGAGCTTCTGTTTATGTTTAATAAAAGCCTATTCAATCTGTTCATCATTTGATCGAGCCTCGTCAGAAAATTTAGATTAAACTTCTCAATTCGTATGGATTAGTTTTACAATCGCTTTATGAACTTTTTACAAAGTGGTAGTTGCGTGGATTGTCAATGGAGGGACAGAAATCTCTCAGGTTTAATTAAAATATTCATTTGTGTTTCGAAGATGAGCTAAAGTTTCACGGATCTGAAACGACATGAGGGTGAGTAATTGTTAATTTCATTTTTTCTTTTAAAATATTTGTGTGAACTAACCCTTTAAGTACTTAGTTTATGTGTAAATTTTAGGCTATAATTCTATTGTCTTTTAAATGTGCACTGCTGAACGTACTGACAAGCATTTATGGCAAACTAAAATATACTTTAATGTCATTTCTATTTAAACTTGTATATTTAAAAATATTTGTACTGATGAAGTTCCTATTTCATTTAAAATATATCAACTTTAAACGTAATATCGAATAACACACTACAGATAAAATTATGACCAATTACTTTTCATGTGCTTTAGTATGTTAGTCAACACATTAAAATAAGTGTACATATTTAAAGCACGTTAAAATATTAAAACATCATGACTTAAAATGTACTTAAAGAAAAACATTTAATTTGACATTATTACAATGTACACTTTTTAAAAGTCTTTAACACTTAAGTGGCCTTTTATTTCATGTATTATTTTATCTACAAATATAGTTTAAAAAAATATATACCTTTAATATTTAAAGTACACTATAAGTGCACATTCAATACGATTAGGTGTATTTTTCACAAGGGAAATCGCACACTATCAATATTTAGTTAGTACTGTAATCATCGATGCGTGTTTTGAATGGTACATTCTTAAACTTTTACATATTGTCAAGCCCCCTTATTCATATAGTGATATATCACACACAGACAGGCTCATACCTACAAATACTTATGTTGAAACTGGATGGCTGCAGTATCCATTGACTCAACTTGCTCGTATGAAGGTCGACATGATGTACATACAGCTTGCATGCAGCTACATGTCTCCCATGTCTCAAATGCATTTGCTGTCTCTCATATTCTGAGCTGACCATGCAGCTCTGCCTGTGTTCTGAACTCACTCCTGAAGCCCTCTGCTTTAGCTCCATTGATTTGCTCCTGTAGACCACTAAAAGCGGCTGGCGAAGAGAGCTGCCATTCAAGCAGTAGAGGCTCTGTGTGAGGGCTTCGTGGAGAACCAGGCTGCCGCTCTCATCCCCAAAGCGAAGCTGGAAGCCCAGGATATCTGAGTGGCTCGGTGGCTGGGTTATTGCAGCTGTCACGTCAAAAACGTCATAGCCTGTTGGAGGAACCCGGTCCAGACTCAATAAGTGCTCTACAAGAGGGCCACTAATGCTCAGGTTATCTTTTCCTGGTGAAAGACTATGTACTGTGACCGTCACACTAAGCGGCTTGTGATGAAGAGTCTTCCTCAGCAGGACCAGCTCTGCAACCCTCATGAAGGGACTCAGCTGGGACATGTTGAACCAGATCCATCCTGGAGTGCCGTACTTTGAATCTCGTTTGAAAAAGAACATCTTTTAAGGGTCTTTGGGGTGAAAATTAAACGGAATTTATTTGATACCTTTTTATAATATTTATTTAGTTGTATTTATATAACTACAAAGGTTATCAAATCTTTTTATGCATCAACATCTCTTCAGAGAAGTGTAAAAAATACAACTACAGTGAAAAAAAGGTAACATCCCCCTTGCAGTCAATCATTTTATCCCTTAAAACTCATTTTTGATAATCACTACATATTCAAACATTGTTTCCTTTGACAATAATTTATTAATGCCTTCAATGTTATTCTATGCTTCATTTAGTAGCATCTATAAGACCTTATGTAGCCCCGCCCCTTTTCTGGCCTGCGCTCGTTTGTATTTCCACAGCCTGAAGGTTAGATTTAATGGAAGAAAATAAATAAAATCTTCCTGGTCTACTGGCATTTGTTATGACATCCGCCTCAAACATTATTATGCCAGCTAATTACTCTTCGACAGCGATGCCATAGAAATATGTAGAGTTACCGCAAAAATGGAATTTCAAAGACAAAATTCTAAAGATAGCACCTCATTGCAGTACACGAGATCCAGGGGGCGGAGTTGGATCCAGATCTAAGGGGTGGAGATGGGTTGGATTAGGGGTGGGGTTAGGGATCAGGGGGTGGAGATGGGTAGGATTAGGGGTGGGGTTAGGGATCAGGGGGTGGAGATGGGTAGGATTAGGGGTGGGGTTAGGGATCGGGGCAGAGATGGGTAGGATTAGGGGTGGGGTTAGGGATCAGGGGGCGGAGATGGGTAGGATTAGGGGTGGGGTTAGGGATCAGGGGGCAGAGATGGGTAGGATTAGGGGTGGGGTTAGGGATCAGGGGGCAGAGATTGGTAGGATTAGGTGGGAGGAGTTGTATCTGGATCCAACTCCTCCCCCTGGATTTCGTGTTCTGCAGTGAGGACCATCTCGATGGCTAAGCGCTTGTTTCTCTGGCTTATAAGATAAGGTTTATACGTGAATCAATAATATGCAAATTAGTCCCCGCCTCCACTCAATCACACCAGCTCGGATTACCTGATCCAATCGGTCAACTGTAGTAAACGCTACACATACATACAAAAGTTTTAACAGATATGTACAGGCACTTCAATGAAATCAACAATAGCACTCATTATGTTAAAGGTGCTCTATGTATTTTTTAGCGGCCTCTAGCAGTGATGTTTCAGATTGCAACAAGAGGGCTCGTGCTCGTGTGCGTGTGCGTGCTCGATCTCTAGAGCGAGCATTCACTACCGGCCACACGGAGACTTTCAACGCAACGGCGAAAGCATCACACAACATGCTGGAAACTCATGTAAACTCCCACTGCAACGTTACAATAATAGGCTACTTTTATCAGCTTGACGTTGAACTAATGCTCCATGCTCGTACCATGATAACGTGACATTGACTGCATTTAGCCGACATGTGGTGTTAGCATAAGGCATTTCACTAACTTTGTGTATCTTTCACAATCAGCAATGTCAACATAGGTGAATGTATAATATGATAACGAAAACGGTGAATTAGACTGAACAATGTCAGTGTAACAGTAAGATCGTAGGAACTAACATTAGCTACTGAACGTGTCTGGAAATGTTTATTATAAACAATATGATAGTAGTGGGATGAGTTAGACAGTAGATCTAGTACATAAAATAAGTTACATCCTAAAACACCTACTTTTTGTTATCCTGGAACAGTCTTTTTGTATTCATTTCATGTCTCATGTAGTTTACCTTGCTATTTCATTAGAGTTTACTTATAATTCAAAAGCTCTGCCGATGTTGATCCGTGTTTTCGTCCTGAGTCGATCAGAATCACGTTTGGCCTGACGAGCTTCAGCAGATACAACTTTTGTTTTGTTTTTTATATTTATGTGGTGTTTGTGTTGGAGTTTGTGTTGTGCTGGAGGCAGGTCGTTTTGGGGTGTTATCAGACTCCATGTCGTCAGCTGCAGTGCCGTCGCATAGACTGTATATAAGGAGAGAGACTCGGGAGCGCGCATGCACGTCACATCCGATGGATTTCGCGGTAAATCCGACCTGGAGACTTCACATATAAATATGAATATTGGCCTTCAGAGGTAATAGCAAAACCCGACAAGTGGATCATTGTAATGTGTGATTACAACCCCTTCACACACAGGCAATAAAAAAAAGGATTCATTTTAGAAGAAAAGCTACATAGAGCACCTTTAAGGGAAAAGTTTTTTTTTTTTTTTATTATTATTTTTTGGATCTTGACCAAAAATGTATTCACCTCGGAAATAACATCACAACATTTATTTCAATCAAGAGATGCATTAAGTTTTGGTCAAGATCTTGTATTGACAATGCAAGAGTCCAGCACTCTGTGAAGTCTCCTCCAGCACATCCCAAAGACTTCCAATGAATTTAAGGTCTGGACTCAGAGGTGCCAATTCATGTGTAAATATGATTCTTCATGCTCCTCCCAACCATTCTTTGACAATTTGAGCCTGATGAATCTTAACATTGTCATCCTGGAATGTGGCCATGATGTGTCTTCCTACATGGTTTTTATTTTAATATTTAATTTAATATTTTAGTTGTTTACTTTGAATAAAAATTCATACTTACCTTCAATGCTCCGGAAACTCTGTACAAGAGTTCCATCTGCCCCACTCGGGTCTCTCTCCTGTGTGTCCAAGGACTGGTAAACGTGCTTCATGTAGGGGTGTGGCTTTGCTTGCTGAGGTGCCGACAGTTTATTTATGTGCAGCATCTCCAAAATAGCTTTGCTCAGGTCTCTATCCTCCGGTTCCTCCCCCTCATCTTCCATGAACACCAAACTGCGAATCCCTCCTAGTCCTAAAAGACCAATTAGGAAGCATAAAAACGATGCGGAAAACCTCATTCTGCAAAAAAAAAAAAAGAGCTGAGAGATTCACAGAAGAAAGCCGAAGCCTGGTTCTCCGACACAGCTCGGTCAGGGAACAGTGTGGACAGCAGAAACTCGCTCACTCATTAGAGGGTGGGATTCAAATCTCATGAAACCAACAGCCAAACACTGAAAAAAGCAGTTACCGCTTTCCCACAGAAAACCCAGGAATGTCACACTCCATTTGACAGGCATTGTGCTCTCAGTTTTCGTGGAAGTGCCGCAAAGTGAACAGGCTTGTTTTGGTTTTGAGGCTTCAGTTCCTTTCAATCGAATCAAGGGCTCTTTTCAACTAGTTGCTTTTTCTCAGTGTAAGCGGATAGTGCTAGTATGTTCATTAACCTTTGCATTCTTGGCACAAACAAAGTATCAAGTGCAAGCTCTTCATTATAACCTTGAGATTCATTTTGAAAGTTGTGGGTAATAATTTAGCAATAGACGTCATTATTGCTTATTTTCACGGCTGGTATTTTTAAAAACTCATGGATGGATTACTATTTAATTTTTAGCAGAAAAAAGAATATACATTTAGACTGACTGATAACTTTGATTGACCTCAAAATTCTTTTTGACAGCAAGTTTCTGGTACAATGGCACCATTTTCTGAGATTCCTGAGAGTTACCTTAAAAAACTGTAGAAAAATAGCCTAATATCCTGGCTGCAAATTACCAGTACCCTTTACGTACATTTCAAAAAATGTATTCAACAATTAATCACATGTGAAGAATCAATATAGAAAATTCTGTCATATTAACATGGTACATTGACTGTATTTTTACAGTTAGTTGTTGATACTTAAAAAGTTTACAAATCTTACTCAGTATTTTTGTCTTACAAATATCTAAAGATTCTTAAATCAAGATACATTTACTTGAGAAGTAAAATGACTTTTCTTGTTTGCTGAAATATTGATGCTATTGATGCTTAAAACTAGAACAAATATCTGCCGGATTTTATCTGAAGTAATTTTACCTTACTAAAATATTTTTTTAGACATTTGTAGAAAAAAATCCTTTTTTTTTTGCATTGCAAGATCAAATCTAGACTCTGATAGGCTCCATAACAGATCGGAAGTGAAAATACTGTATACTGACTTCAATTATATCCTGCTGTTTGAATTTGCTTATTTATACACTGTTTATTTAAAAAAAGATTCACGTTTCTTGACTTTGTATTGAGGTTCTCCACATGAAATGGTTGACTTTTCCCACAAACTTCAATTAATCTGTTTTATGAGGAGAGATTTAGGAGATTAGTTTAGTTCTTATGTATTCAGAACCGTGCAGTCATGGTAACTTGACCGAAAGGAAACTGAGAAAGAGCAGAAAAAAGTGTTTGTTGACTCTTTCCTGACTCACTTAGGCAATAACCACAGAATAATTGCGTTGGGAAAATTTGAAAACTTGAGTATTATTTTAAAATGATTACATTTCTTTCGAACCCTTTGACTCCATAATCCTCCTCATAGACTTAAGTTGCTAACATCCAGATGTAATTGATGTAGTTTAACACAAAGTGAGTGTTATACAACTGAAAGCAGATAGTCGTCTACTTATCATCAGTATAAGGGGACCTGGACTCACTTACTTCTTGAAACAATTTCAAACACCTCAGGAAGAGAAAAGTGTAGATAATCGTACATGTGAAGTCTGAGGAGGCCCGGTTAAACAACTTACTGCTGTTCTGTCTATTTAGTCTTCAGAGCTATTATGCTATTCAGAGCTACAGTAACTGCAAGCTATTGTGAACACAGAGAAAGAATGTTTTAGTAAAAGATCCATGAGAATTCACTTAGATGAGAGATTAACAGGGCTTGCAAGGTCAATGGTCACAGTGCAGAAGACACTGCCACCATTACTGTGTGACAATGTCATTTGGACATTGTTCTACTATATTAGTCTGGCTGTATCTTCTTGATGTTAAAGGGATAGTTCACTTTGAAATTAATTTCTGGTATGTTTTAGCTTACCTCAAGGGCATCCAAGATGTAGGCGTCTTTGTTTCCGCAGTAGTTTCAATTTTGATATTTTTAGGTCAAACCGTTCTTGTCTGTCAGTCATATAATGCAGGTCTATGGTCACCACCTCAAAGAGCATGCACAGAGAAGTCCAAATTAAACATGATTTAATGACTTGTAAATGTAAGTACATATTGATGGCCTAAGACACGAAACAAGCAGTTTGTGTGAGAAAACGAACAGTATTTATATCGTTTTTACCTCTTGTAACCACAGCCACGTCCAAGTGATCTGAGGGCGCGGGCGCTTCGGTCTATGCGTTACAAGAGGTAAAAACGATATAAATACTGTTCGTTTTCTCACACAAACCGCTCGTTTCGTGTCTTAGGCCATCAATGTGTACTTACATTTACGAGTCATTAAATCATGTTTAATTTGGACTTCTCTGTGCATGCTCTTTGAGGTGGTGACCATAGACCTGCATTATATGACTGACAGACAAGAACGGTTTGACCTAAAAATATCAAAATTGAAACTACTGCGGAAACAAAGACACCTACATCTTGGATGCCCTTGAGGTAAGCTAAAACATATCAAAAATTAATTTCAAAGTGAACTATCCCTTTAATAAATAACCAAATGCAGTGGGACGCAAAATGACCAGGATTCGTGAGACTCTAAAATAATCTAAAATGATTTTCGGTTACTTATTATTTTAAGGTGTCTTTGTTACAGTGTAATTGTACATTATTTAAGCACTGAGTAATAACTACGTGCTCTTATAGGGTTAGGATTAGGTTTGTTTTAGGGTTAGTTGCATGTAGTTATGCTTAATTTTTAGGTATTACTATAGTACCTACATGTAACAAGGACACTAAAATAAAGTGTTACCACATTTTCTAATTGTTGCATACTTTCTGTACATGCATTTTTATGACCACATATAAGTTTTCTAATTAATTAGTATTTTTTTAACAGCAAACAATCTAAAAGGTGTTTAAAATAGAATAAATACAAATAAATACAAATTTAATTCAACTATTGTTTTGCACTTTTTGTATCTTATGCGAATATACTTTACACTTCAGCACAATGGACTTCAACATATGGACATCCTCCTTGTACATAGATCATTTACATATATTCTTTTTTTTCTTATTTTTATATTTAATGCACAATCATGAGGGGTGATTGGACACCATAATCCACTACCTTTGTGTATTTGACAAATAAAAACTTGACACTCTAAAAATAGTCACGTTACCTAAAATATAGTTTTTCTTTGTGTTATTTTGAAGTTTGTCCCATATTATTTGCCAGCTACCTGTTTAGAGACACTTAGAAACTGATTTCACAGATCTTTGTGAACAAACATGCTATTTTTTCAGCGGCGTCATCTAGACACCCTTTGATGGAAGACCTCCTCAATCTGTCATTATCTAATGGTGTGGTGCGGTCGGAGCGTAGATTGCTTTTCTTTGATCTCTGTCTGTTTGTGTTTGCCTCTCTTTTCTGATTGCCTCTGCATGTTTTGCTCTCTTCATACCCAGCCTCACTCCTCCCTAAAAGCCTCCGGAGCAGGACTATCCCACCTCCCTCCTCCGAGTTTCCACAGAACACCCTCCTCCTCCTCCTCTACTTCTTCCATCTCTTCGCAGGGGTGAGGATTGCCATCGGGACTCTTGTCAATTAGACCGTTGCTGTGAAAGCGTTGGAGTGAAAAGGAGAAGATAAACAGTTGTGGAGTTATAAGTGCTATGGTTTCAGGTATGAACTTGTCTGTAAATGTGCTCTGTGTGTGTTTGTTTTGTGTATGTGTGTGCAAAAATGCCACTAAATAACATTTAGATCAACTAAAGAACAGATTAAAGATAAGAAATGAAAGGTGTAAATTGTGTACCTGGGCGGTCACACTTTATGTTAGCTGCCTTTACTTAAATAATATTGTTAGGTACATTGTACTTATTGTGTTTGTGTTGTATTGCAAAACACTTGTGCTGCTATTGAGGCGGGATATAAGGTTTAGTGGTATTGGGTAAACGAAGGGTCAACAGTAATTACAGAAATTAATGCAGTTTTCTTTTTTTAAATAGGTATAATATAAAACCATGTATGTATACAATAAGTGCATTGTATCAAATTATTAACTTTAATGTTAGTACATACATAGAAGTTAAAGACACTCAATATAAAGTGGCACCGAATATCCGAATATAATTTTTATCAAATGAGAAATGTTAAATATAATGGGAGAATGTACATTATTTTAAAACATCTAACCCAACCAATGTTCTCACTGTGAAATCCGTGAAATGATTTCTAAACTTTTGGCAAACCCACCGGGTCCTCCTATTTGTTTTCCAAATGAGGCCATATGTGAATTTGTATGATTTATTAATAATGTCCTGTTTATGAACTAGTATTGTTTGGCTAACTCTTTTAAGTCATAAGAGGAATGGCTCTCAGGGTATAGTCTTTATCCAGGTGAAAGTCAGGTGGAAAGCATGTCACTTAAAACAGCTTTCTCATCTCTGTCCACCTTATGAATTAAACTAGTGCACCTTTATTAATCTTTCTTTAAGCTTACGCTCTTAAAATAAAGAGGGTTTTCGCAAACAATGCCATAGAAGAACCATTTTTGTCTCCCCAAAGAACCTTACAGTGGTCAGTTCTTTTTTCTTAGTGTGAAGAACATTTCTAAAGAAACTTTTTTTTTTGCTGTAAAGAAACTTTTGTGCATTTTAAAGGTTCAATGGATGTTAAAGGTTCTTCATGAAACCATCAACACCAATAAAGAACCTTTTATTTTTAGGAGTGTAGAATAACAATCCCCCCGACTGATAACCATACTCCCTTTTTTTTCATCTGGGAGTCTTCAGCACTTGCAAACACTGAGAACGGTCATGCTGGTATGCTGCCAAATGGGGGCCAAAGCTGTTTAGAGAGCGAAGGCCTCCCCCTTTCCCTCTGCTCATCTTTGCTTTGGAAATAGTTGGCTGCTCGTTACCCTGTCATTAGCGAGATGAGAAGCAGTGCACAGCGCTGTGAGGAAAGGCAGCCGATTTCTGCTGGCTCCAGCCGGTGTCTCCAGTCAGTCCTGTACAGAATGCCCGCTTCTTCAGAGAGGAACGCACATTTCCCCCCCCCCGTGTGACCCAGAAATTGTAGCTCTGATAAGACCATTGGAAGGAAACGTCTCGGTTACGGATGTAACCCTCGTTCCCTGAGTAGGGAACGGAGACGTTCCGTCGGATGACGACGAATGGGGGTTTCGCTTAGAAGCCAATCAACTTCAAGTACTTCAAAACGAGCCAATGGCAAAGAAATGCC